CCGCACGGACCTCCCATGGGGCCCTGGCATCCGTTACAGCAATTACGTACAGGCATCTTTAGGCTGAAATATCGATAAACAGATTAACACAAACAAAAACCGTAAAAGTAGCAGAAATTAAGAACTCATGAAATACTAAAAAGCAAAACAGACCAAAACATTACTCAATACAAAGTAAGGATGAAATTATAATTAAAAGCTCCCGTCGGCGTGGAAATCTTTTTTGGCAGTAATAAATGTGCAAATTGTACAAAAGCGACATCACTAAATATAAAAGCGTGGGCTGACAAAGAACGCTATTTATAGCTCAAAGCAATTCGTTAATTGTGTAAAGCGAAATTCATTCTTTTATTAAGCGAATTTCCTATATTTCCATTAAAATAAAAAGTAACAGAATTTATATTAATGTTATGGAGGCGTATAATGAAATGTATTTTTTGTGATAAACGCTTTCTACTTCGCAAAATGATAAGCAATGGTTGAATGTTTGACGAGGATAATATATTGTATAATACAGAAATTCTTAAGCAATACTATCCAGAGTGATAACAGAAAAACAAACCTTTCCTTATGTTGCCGCAAACTCTAGTATTACTAATTACTATTACTAAAAAGAAAAAAACTAGGAATATCATACCTTTATGTGAAAATTGTGAGAAAAAAGGCAAATTAAATAACTATTTAATTTGCCTTTTCTTATTTTTTTTTATATTTTTAAGGAATTTTATAAAAAAACATTCAATCCAATTCAAGGATTGTGTAAAATGTAACGTATTGCCGAATATAATTTTATTTTATGACAAATAAAAACAAATATTTCTAATGTCACCGCTTACTCTTTTAATTCAAATTATTTAAGAACACCAACACGAAATAGGTTATAAACCGATTTACCTATATAAAATACAGAGAGGTTACAAGATGTAGTATTTTGTGCGTATTTGATTTCCGCCATTTTGGCGCTGACGGTAGCGGTTATCACCGGTGGTGAGGATTGGAACTAATATATCGATAGAATTAACTGTCACTAACAGACGCTTAAATTCGAAACAAAGCAAAGGCTGTAATTTCCAAACAGCGACCTGTCCACCGACATCCTTAAACACCTTAAAGCCATAATTTATGAACAAAAACAATTCAATATGACAAAATTCTTCATTACATAAATCAAACCGTCACATTATTTCATTACATAACCAAATATTACAAAAATGTTATCAAAAAAAATATAAAAAATAGTGCTTTTATCTATTAAATGTTACCGTTATTTTTAAATTGAATTGAATATTTAAAATATTGAAGATGCCATGTCCAACGTGTGGGATGCCGTGTTGCGGCCAGGTGGCCGGGTACTCGTACCCCGCGCCGTTCTGTGGCCCCTGCTGTGGCGTCTGCGTTGGACCCTGTGGGAAACCTTTTGGCACTTATAGCTGGCGCTACCGTCCTGGTTGTTGTCGGTGATTTATTACATCGTATATAAGTTTCTGATGTTCATGTATTATTATGTATGAAGAATAAAAGCATTTGTTAATTTAATCTTTATTTCTGTAACTCCTTTTGTTTTTATATTTCAAAAAAGTTGTAAAACTCGTGCGTGGTAACTTTGCCAATGGCCGCATGACGACACGCGTTTACTGACGATATTATCAGACAAGCCTGGGATGTTTACGTTAGTAGTCAAACCTGAGCACGGTTTAAATGTCCTGATTAATAACGCATCAAAAAGGGTATAGGGTATTGGTATTAAGACTGTAAGCTATTGGTACAAACTGCTTCAAGCAATCAGCATTGGGTGATATGTTTCCATAGAAAAATACCACATGCGGTACACGGATCAAAGTCTGTAGTCGACGTTAAAACGCAGCCTGTCGTATGCCGATACAATAGTGCCAGTC